CGAGAGCGCCGTCGGTGGGGTTCTGAAGAATTTTATCCTATAGTCTCGGAAAAAAAACTCGCAGTCGTCGGGGTCGAGGGCGCCGTCGGTGGTCTAGTTCAAATGCTCAAATTTTGGTCCTTTTTGCTTAAATTTCGCTCCTTTTTGTATCTTTTTGCTCCAATGACCATAATTCATCATTCCTACAATAAAACATCAAAAATACATTTCTTTAAAGTGAAATATCATTAAAAACAGTATAAAATAGGTATGAAAATCTCAACATATTTTCCTTTGGTCAAAGCTCTTCACGCTGAGAAGCCATATGAATAAAGAAAGATACAACGAAAGCTCCATATTAAAACTTCAAAATCCTTTTGAAAATTAAACAAAACAAAAATATTTTGAAAATATATTTTGATAATTAAATATGATAAAAATAATGAAAAAAGAAAATTTTAAATTTTCTTGAGTTTGTTTATCTCGAGTTTGAGATTCCTTGCTCTTTCCTTGCGCAGCGCAACTATTCTGTCCTGCACCAATCTCTTCACATTCCCACAAAATTACATGTTCTGCACAAAGTCTCCCAAAATCCCACAATTTTTTGTCAAATCTTCACATGTCATATATCTATGAATTCAACATCACAAGCTCTGTACACTATGTTCACGTCACTTTTTGGGGTAGGCTTAGACGTCATATTCCCATGCACACTTTTCGGTGTAGGCCTAGATGTCCTATTACCATATATACTTTCTTCGAGATAGGAATAGACATTCTATTCCCATATATACTCTTTGGCGTAGCCATCCTATTCCCATGTACACTTTTTGGGGTAGGCTTAAATGTCTTATTCTCATTTACACTTTTTGGGGTAGGCCCATACGTCTTATTCCTATATGTGCTTTCTTTGAGATAGTCATCGATGTTCTACTCCCATATATACTCTTCGGGGTAGGCCCAGACGTCCTATCCCCATGTACACTTTTTCGGGTAGGCCCAGACATCATATTCCCATGTACACTTTTTGGGGTAGGCCCAGAAGCTCTATTCCCATGTACACTTTTTGGGATAGGCATAGACGTCCTATTCCCATGTATACTCCTTGGGGTAGGTAGAGATGTCCAATTTCCACAAGTATATACTCTTCAAGGTAGGTACCGACATCCGCTTCCTTTCTTTGTGCTTGTGTTATCCACTCAATTCGGTTCTCCAGCGCATAATGAATTAAATTCACTACATAAAATCATATAAATAATTTTTGAAAATATTGAAATAGAGGACATCTAATAGTTAATATTTTTCTTCCCTCCCCCAAACTTAAATTTTTAAATATGAAATAATAAATGTGGAAAGAAAAACTATAAATATAAATCATACCTCAGTATTGTAGGCATTTTTATCATTCTGAAATTTCTGCAGGCCTTCTCAAATTTTTACTTCACCTTGTCTGTAATATTAGGAGTTTTCTACACATATAAATCATTAGAGAAATTTCTGGGTAATGGAATTTTGAAACAAGTATAAAACTAAAACAAGCACAACATTTCCTAACACAATCACAATACTAAATAATTAAAACTTTTAAAAAAAATGCAAAAATGAAAATCACATTAAAATCTACAATTCTACTTAATATCTATTGAACTATACATGCACATTTAACTACCACACTAACTTTATAAAAATTTAAAATTATCCAAGTACACAAAATGAAAGTCCAAATACATAAACATCCATTTCTATTACAAAAATTTTACATAAAATAAAAATACAAACATAAGTACATCAATTTCATTCTATATCAAAATCCCAAGCTATATCTTCATCGCCTTGATCAGCAGGTGGATTGGGTTGATACTGAGTATATCGGGGGCATTCAGGAAACGTAACATCAAGCTCTCCTTTGTAGTGTCGGGCCTGAGCTTCATAATAGGCTACCTCAAAATTTGAATTCTTTTGAAGGTACTCACTATCATAATC